TCAGCCTAGGGTCTCCATGCCGGAGACCTCCCCTGCTCTGCTGTGGACGGGGAAGGTTGGCGATGCGTCTGCGTTCCGTGTCTGGGGATCTCGGGCGTTTGTCCGCGACTTGTCCGCGGACAAGCTGTCCCCTCGTGCTGCTCCTTGCGTCTTCCTGGGTTTCCCCCCTGACGCACCTGGGTGGCAATTCTACCACCCCACCTCTCGTCGTGTTCTGTCCTCCCAGGATGTGACGTTCGACGAGTCGGTCCTCTACTACCGGCTCTTCCCCTACCGCACTCCGTCCCTTCCCCCGCCGCCGCTCTTCCTTGTCCCAGGTCCCCCCCCGGTAGACCCCCTTCCCCCTCAGGGTCCTGCCCCTTCAGGTGTGTCCTAGGTAGACGCTGCTGAGCTTGTAGAGGTCACTGGTAACTCTGGTGCTGCTGGGGGTGCTGGGCCTGGGGGTGCTGTGCCTGGGGGTGCTAGGCGTGGGGGTGCTGAGCCTGGGGTGCGGAGCCTGGGGGTGCTGAGCCTGGTAGTGCGAATCCTGGGGGTGCTGAGCCTGGGGGTTCTACGCTTGGGGGTGCTGAGACTGGGGGTGCTGAGCCTGGGGGTGCGGAGTCTGGGGGTGCTGAGCCTGCTGGTGCTGTTCCTGCCGGTTAACCGGGTCTTTCTTCTCGCCGGGAGCCGCTCTTTCCACTGGAGCTGCGTGAGTGGTTTGCCCGGCGCTCGAGGCGAGCTGCTGGAGCTGGAGGTGCTGCGGGTACTGGAGGTTCTGTTAATGCTGAGGGAGCTGGTGTCACGGGTCCCGGAGGTGCTCGTACTGAGAGTACTGGAGCTGCCGGGCCCGGGGGTGCCTCTGGAGCTGGAGCTGCTGCGGAAACTGGCGCGGAGTCTGCGGGTGTTGGTCCTAAAGGCGGTCCTGCTGGGGGTGCCTCTGGAGCTGGAGCTGCCGCGGGTGCTGGCGCTGAGGGTACTACTGGCGCTGCTGGAGGTGCTGGAGTTGGAGCTGCTACTGGTGCTGGTACTGCCTCTGGAGGTACTGGTGCTGTCCCTGCTGTGTCTGGAGTTGCTGCGCGGCCTCGGCCGTACTTCGTTCCAATCCTTCAGCAGGTTCTTGGTCTCCCGCCTTCCACTGGTCCTTCTCCTCCCTTGGAGTGTCCACAGCCTGTCCCGTCGCAGTTATAGTTACATCCCGCCTCTCCACTGCCTTCTCCGTCTCCGTACACTGGTCCTACTGGAGGTTTTGCTGAGCGTCGTGCGCCTGCGTCCCACCCTGCGTTGCCTGTCCGTGCTGCTCGCCCTAGTGGTCGCGGTTCGTGTCAGCGTCCTCCTCCCGTCCCTGGCACGCATAGGATGTCTCTTCGTCCGTCCACTGCTCCTCTGCGTGCCCCTTTGCCTTCTCCTCCTCAGTCGTCTCGTCCTGCGTTTGCCGACCCAGAGTCGGACTCTCTTCGTGCTGCCAGTCCTACTGTCACGCGTCTCCTTGCTACTGTTGTCACTGACCCTTCCTTTGAGTCCGCTGCTGCGTCTTCCTTAGTTGCTGAGCTGGTCGACTTTGCTGCCACGTGTCGTCTAGACTACGCCGCGAGTCTTGTTGCTGAGTTTGAGTCCGCCTGTCCTCCGTCCGTCAGGGGTGAGTCTGCTCTTGGCACGGACGTCCTTGAGGACAGGCAGGAGGAGTTTGAGTGCTTTGCCGCCGCTTTGCCCCATCTCGTGTCCATGCTTGTTGCCCCTGAGGGAGATGCGGATGCTCTTGACATCCCGACCTTACGCTCTTACGCAGAGGCGATGGCCGGTCCCTACTCCTCTCAGTGGCAGTCAGCCATGGACGCAGAGATGGCTTCCTGGAAGTCCACAGGCACCTACATCGACGAGGTTCCCCCACGTGGGGCGAACATCGTCAGTGGCATCTGGATTTTCAGGGTGAAGCGGCCGCCGGGTTCTCCGCCTGTCTTCAAGGCGCGGTACGTGGCTCGTGGCTTCAGTCAGCGGCAGGGAGTTGACTTCTTTCAGACCTTCTCCCCGACCCCGAAGATGACCACTCTTCGGGTTCTGCTGCACGTCGTCGCTCAGCGTGACTACGAGCTCCACTCTCTTGACTTCAGCACTTCTTTCTTGCAGGGCCGCCTACACGAGGAGATCTGGCTGCGCCGCCCTCCTGGCTTCACTGGGTCGTTCCCTCCTGGCACCCAGTGGAGCCTCCGGCGGCCAGTCTACGGTCTCCGCTAGGCGCCGCGTGAGTGACACGACACACTGAGGACTACACTTGCGGCTCTTGGGTTCGCTCCCTCTACTGCTGACTCGTCGCTGTTTCTGCGCACCGACACCTTGCTGCCGCCGTTCTACATCCTCGTGTACGTCGACGACTTGGTCTTTGCCACTCCGGACATTGCCGCACTCGCCCACGTGAAGTCAGAGCTGCAGAAGAGACACACGTGCACAGACCTGGGTGAACTGAAAAGCTATCTTGGCTTGCGGATCACCCGGGACAAAGCACGCCGCACCATTACCCTGACTCAGTCACACATGGTGCAGCAGGTCTTTCAGCGCTTCGGCTTCACGTACTCCTCGCCTCAGTCCACTCCTCTGCCTACGGGACACTCGCTCTCAGCTCTGCCTTCAGATGAGTCCGTAGAGCCGAGTGGCCCGTATCCAGAGCTTGTGGGCTGCCTCATGTACCTGATGACCTGCACTCGACCTGACCTCGCATACCCTCTCAGCATCTTAGCACGCTATGTTGCTCCCGGCCGTCACCGGAAGGAGCACATGGATGCAACTAAGAGGGTGTTGCGCTACTTGTGCAGTACGTCGAGCATGGGACTAGTGCTTGGAGGGCGAGACCGGCCTTTTCTCACTGGGCACTCAGACGCTTCTTGGGCAGACGACCAGGCTACTCAGCGATCGTCTCAGGGTTACACCTTCAGTCTTGGCTGTGGCTCTGTCTCTTGGCGTTCTACACGCTCTTCTTCTGTTCTCAGCTCCAGTTGTGAGGCTGAGATCTACGCCACGGCCATGGCTGCCCAGGAGCTTCGCTGGCTCACCTACCTGCTGACTGACCTTGGAGAGCGGCCTCGTTCTCCTCCAGTGCTGTACGTCGCCAACAAGGCAGCCATTGCCTTGTGTGAGGAGCACAGACTGGAGCACAGGACGAAGCACATTGCTGTGCGCTACTTTCTTGCTCGAGAGCTGCAGCAGCGCGGTCAGCTTTGTCTGCGTCATGTGGCCACTGAGGCCAACACTGCTGATGTGTTCACCAAGGCGCTTCCGCCTTGTAACCATCAGCGCTTTTGCACTCTTCTAGGTCTTGTGCCTATTGGGCCTCACTTGCTTACCTCTTGACCTTGCTTATACTGTTGCATATATATTTTTGCTCTTGCTTGTTTAGCACTGTTATATATATGCTCTGTTGCATGTGAATTGGCCTTATCACCTTGAACTTGTGCTCAGAATGTGTGGTGACGTTGAGATCCACCCTGAGCTTGCTTTGCTTCGCTTTGCTTGACTGGTCTTGTGACCCCTTGTTCTCCCCCACTTTGCCTATGGGGGTGTGTCAGATTACTATAGCTGATGCATGTTTGTAGGCTATAGTGGGGTAGCACCTATGGGGTACAGCTTTCTAGGGTTGTATTTGTACCCAACTTTGACTTAGTCATTTCATTCCTGTCTAAGATTCTCACATTTACTACCTTTTGACACTGAAGTATCTGATATTGGTACTTGTATTTGGTGTTGTTTTTCTTTCCTATGTTTCTTTCTTTCCTATCTTCTTTCTTCAATTCTTTCTTTCTTCCTTCATTTCCAAGCGCCGGCGTTTATATAACGGCGGAATGAAATGAAGTTTTTTTTTTACACCAAACAGTAGATCCCGTTCTGCCAATTGTAATCGAGTCGAAAATATATGGGGTCGCGAATTTGACTCTCGAGCAACTTGGCAGGGATTGATTCCCTGCCAACACATGCTGACTAAGCAACAGCGCGTGCTGACTATGTCAGAATATATTTGTGTAACTGCCTGTAGCTGTAGTTTAGTGTAGCTATCATAAACTATTGGTGATGCACCATTCTTGTTTCTTGCCTATTTGTATTGTTCACTCCATAGTGAACCCCACTTCTTCTTGCTAAAATCTCTCGACTCCCTTTGGCCTAGGCTACTAAGCCTAGGCCCTACTCCTACTATTCAACATGGTAATCAGAGCAGGAACCTTCCTACGGCTTTCTTTAAAGGGCCCACCAGTCTGCTCCCGCTGCCTGTCATCCTGCCGCGCGCCTCGGGCGTGCGGCCCGCACGGCGATTTTCTGCCCGCCGTGTGCTCGGGGCGCACAGCGGTTTTCTGCCCGCCGTGCGCCCCGGGCGTGCGGCGTCTTCCTGTCCCGCGCGCGGCCTGCTCTCACGCCACCTGCGCGCATGTCCCACGTTTGCGCGCGGGCCTGTTCTGCCCGCCCGTACCCTGCCCTTCGCGGCGCCCTGCGAGGCGCCGCTCCTGCTTGTCGCGACGCCCGTGTGGGACCCGTGCGTCGCTGCTCCTGCTCGACGCGACGCCCCTGCGGGACCCGCGCGGCGTTGCCCTGCTCGTCGTGACGTCCCTGCGGGACCCGCGCGGTGTCGCCCCTACTCGTCGCGGCCCCCCCTAGATGCCGCCCCCTCTGGACGCCGCCCCTGCTCGTCGCGGCGCCTCTGGGGCGTCGCTCCTGCTCGTCGCGGCGCCCCCTGGGCGCCGTCCCTGCTCGTCGCGGCGTCCCCCCCCCTGGCCGCCGCTTGCCTCACCTGCGCCCGCGCCTGCGTTGCTGGCGCGCGCGGGCCTGCCCTACAGCAGCCGCTCCTGGCCCCTGGAGTAGCCGCCCCTGGCCCCTGGAGTAGCCGCCCCTGCAGCAGCCGCCCCTGGCCCCTTGAGCAGCCGCCCCTGCAGCAGCCGCCCCTGGCCCCTGGAGCAGCCGCCCCTGCAGCACCCGATCCTGCAGCTGCCCGCGACGCCGCTCCTGGACCCTGTGCAGTTTCCCGCGCCCTCGTGCGCTCTGTCTCATCCGCGCCCTCGTGCGCTCTGCTCTGCCCGCGCTCTCGTGCGCTCTGTTGCTGCCCGTGCCTGTGCTGCCTGTGCTGCCAGTTGCTGCCCGTGCCTGTGCTGCTCGTTGCTGCCTGTGCCTGTGCTGCCCGTTGCCGCCCGTTGCTGCCCGTGCCTGTGCTGCCTGTTGCCGCCCGTTGCTGCCCGTGCCTGTGCTGCCCGTTGCTGCCCGTGCCTGTGCTGCCCGTTGCTGCCCGTGCCTGTGCTGCCCGTTGCTGCCCGTGCCTGTGCTGCCTGTTGCCGCCCGTTGCTGCCCGTGCCTGTGCTGCCCGTTGCCGCCCGTTGCTGCCCGTGCCTGTGCTGCCCGTTGCTGCCCGTGCCTGTGCTGCCCGTTGCTGCCTGTGCCTGTGCTGCCCGTTGCCGCCCGTTGCTGCCCGTGCCTGTGCTGCCCGTTGCCGCCTGTTGCTGCCCGTGCCTGTGCTGCCTGTTGCCGCCCGTTGCTGCCCGTGCCTGTGCTGCCCGTTGCTGCCCGTGCCTGTGCTGCCCGTTGCTGCCCGTGCCAGTGCTGCCCGTTGCCGCCCGTTGCTGCCCGTGCCTGTGCTGCCCGTTGCTGCCCGTGCCTGTGCTGCCCGTTGCCGCCCGTTGCCGCCCGTTGCTGCCCGTGCCTGTGCTGCCCGTTGCCGCCCGATGCTGCCCGTGCCTGTGCTGCCCGTTGCCGCCCGTTGCTGCCCGTGCCTGTGCTGCCCGTTGCTGCACGTGCCTGTGATGCCCGTTGCCGCCCGTTGCTGCCCGTGCCTGTGCTGCCCGTTGCCGCCCGTTGCTGCCCGTGCCTGTGCTGCCTGTTGCTGCCCGTTGCTGCCCGTGCCGGTGCTGCCCGTTGCCGCCCGCTGCTGCCCGTGCCTGTGCTGCCCGTTGCTGCCCGTGCCCGTTGTGGCGGGTGTGGGGGTGATACGTGTGTGTCGTCCCTTCCTTCTCCTCCTCCGTCTCCCACTGCTGCAGCTGCCGCTGAGGGGGGTGGATGTGTGGGAGCCGAGGGGAGTGGCGCTAGGGGGGTGCCGTGGTGTACCCATCCTTGAAGTGTCGCTGCACAAACTCCTGCTGCAGGCAGTTATGGGGGAGTGCTAGAATATATTTGTGTAACTGCCTATAGCTGTAGTTTAGTGTAGCAATCATAAACTATTCGTGGTGCACCATTCTTGTTTCTTGCCTATTTGTATTGTTCACTCCATAGTGAACCCCACTTCTTCTTGCTAAAATCTCTCGACTCCGTTTTGGCCTAGGCTACTAAGCTTAGGCCCTACTCCTACTATTCAACGGACTAGACGCGCAGCAAGTGTGATGTGAGTGGGGAATGTGTAACAGTACTTCGCTTCCCTGGTAAGGTGAAATTCGTTTCTGTGTTTTGACTAATTTTCAGATAATATTCAATATGCGCTTATAATAAATCATAATTTTTTAGGGGGTGCGCTTATAATCAAGGACCGGATATAAGCGCCCTCATCCCTTTTATAAGCGCCGGCGCTTATCCGAGGCCTGCGCTTCTATCCGGGGTATGACGGCGTCATACCCCGGATAGAAGCGCCCCTGGGGCTGTAATAAAACACTTTTTTTAGGAGGTGCGCTTATAAATGAGGAAATTTATAAGCGCCGGCGTTTATTTAACGGCAAAATGAAATTATGTTTTTCTTTAACACCGAACTGTAGAACTCGTTCTGCCAAGTGTGATCGAGTCGAAAATATATGGGGTCGCGAATCTGACTCTCGAGCAACTTGGCAGGGATTGATTCCCTGCCAACACATGCTGACTAAGCGACAGCACGTGCTGACTAGACGCGCAGCAAGTGTGATGTGAGTGGGAAAGTGGAACTGTACTTCACCTCCCCGGTAAGGTGAATCTCGTTTCTGCATTTCGAGTGATTTTCAGATATAATTCGACATGCGCTTATTATAAATCACAGATTTTTAGGGGATGCGCTTATAATCGAGGACCGGATATAAGCGGCCTCATCCCTTAATAAGCGCGGGCGCTTATCTGAGGCCTGCGCTTCTATCCGTCCAGTATATTTGAGATCCGCTACGCAGTTCACGGATGTGTTTCTTACGAAACAAGGAAGCACGCATGTATCAACTAGACCAGAGCGACCAAACATACGGTAAGCCATAATTCTACCATGAAAAGCCAAACAGCTGCCGTAGTAATCACACAGAGGCACATCGTGCACCTCCCACTTCAAATGAGAGAATCAAGATGAGCAAGCTCATGGTATGCTAGCACCAACAGATGGTGCGACAGCTGTACAGCCTCCCTCCTCTCACTCACACTCGGGCTCTCCTCCATTAACTCGTCCACAAAACCCTCCCTCCCATACTCCTCTATTCCCCCTAGCCCCTTATCACCCCAGCCATCCCTTCCCATGCCCATGCCCATGCCCATGCCCATGCCAATTCCCATTCCCATCGCCCAGACAGACTCTGGGCAAGCTTGTGGCCCTGAGCCCCTGAAAGGAATCTACTGCAGGTGCATGCAAGTGGGGTTGGGGATTGAGACGAGGGAGACCGCGGGGCCTTGATGAGAGGCACGATGAGCAGTTTGGAAAGCGAGGGGTGCAAGGGGTGCGAGTGGGGGTGGGCATGCAAGTGTAAAGGCGAGGTCATGCAGAAGGCGCAACAAGGAGTTGACCCGCTGGCGCAGAAGCGAGGTTGGTTGCGGAGGGGAGGACAGAGAAGGGAGAGTGTGGGAACCGGTGGCGGTGTGGCAGTGTGGATGGGAGGTCAGAGGTGCATGGTGAGGGTGGGAGGAGGAAGGATCAGTGGGCTGCGGCATCTGCACGGCTGGCCCAGGGCGAATGTCTTCTCCTAAAGCACATCCCAGTTCCGTGCCCTCTTGGCTGCTCCTCCTGCTACACTGGCTAGTGTGCTGAATCAGTCTGGCATGGAGGAATGAGAGAGGTAGACTCCTCTCGCCCCCTCATCCAGGCCAGGTACCACAACCATCTGCCTCAGGAGTGCTCTCTCCTATGCCACTTCCCCCCTGTCCATCCAGAAACCGCACCCTTTTCTGTTGCCCTGCTGCCCCTGCTGCCCCTGCTGCCCCTGCTGCCCCTGCTGCCCCCGCTGCCCCTGCTGCCCCTGCTGCCCCCGCTGCCCTTCCGCATCCCCCAACACCCACGCCCAAACCACTTCCACTACGCAGCAGATAGCCTCTACAGAGGGTATCATATGTTGGTGCAGGAGTTGCAGGGGTGCAAGGGTTATATCCAGCCCTAGTTCCGTCCCCACTTCTTTCCAACTTCCCATCACTAGCACTGGGTGCACAGGCAGTGGTGCGAGCAGTAGCAGCGGTACCACTAGGAGCACCAGCATTAGCAGCAGCTGATGTCCTGGTGACAGTCCCTAGGTCCTCCTGCAGTTGCCGCGCCACGTCACTCATCTCCAGCCTCCTCTGCGCCTCCACACGCGGTGCTCTCTGCCTCACTACAAGACGAGAAATGCCACCCACCACCAGCTTCGCTAAGGCACTGATAGAGATGCATTCACTGCCTGCTTGCCATCTAGCCTGTGTACTTGGCAGCTGCTTCTTGGGATCAGTACTTACCCGTGTTTGCTCATCAATCTCACCGACATGGTTATCACCACCAACACTGAAACCACCAACAGCACCATTACCATCACGAACCCTCTTGCTAGCAGCACGATGACAATCGAAATCACCAAAACAACCATCTCCGCCACCCTCTTCTCCCCTGCTTCCTCGTTTCCCCGTGCACTTCTCTGCCTCACAACAGTCCCCACTTCCAAGCACTTCAAGTGACATCCGCAGCATATTCACGTGCAAGGTTCCGAACCCAAAGGCCCCTCCCCCTCCTCCTCCACCTTCCCAATTCCAATCCGAACTTGCTAGCGAGGTCCGGGCAGTGCGCATGGCTGCATAGGCTCGGCCGGAGGGTCGGTAGGAGCAGGAAGGGGAGCAAGCGGGAAGGTTCGGGGAGGAGAGGAGTGAGGAGGAGGAGGAAAAAGAGAGCTCTAGGGCAAGAGTGGAGGAGCATTGCTGCTGCAGCAGGGCTGCTCGCATGTGGATGAGACGCAGGCGTGGAGAGTGGGGTTCCATGTCGTGCGTGCTGGTGGTTGTAGCAGGTGTGAGTGCAGGTATGGCGTTGGGATGGTTAGTGCTGCTGGGTGCACGGACTCCACTCCGATTCTTTACTTCATTCTTCTCTCCACCCTGATTGATCCTCTCCCTGCCTCTGCTGCTACCGTTAGCACCAGAAGCACCAGTAGCAGCAGCAGGAGCAGCAGCAGCAGGAGCAGCAGCAGCAGTACCACCACCACCACCAGTACCATCACAATCAGCAAGAACAGCAGTCATTCCTGTCGTGACTGCACCTGTCACTCGCTCATGGTCAGTGCCCGCAGTGCGAGCAGCAGCAGCAGCAGCAGCATGATCCACTGCCGCAGCAGCACCTTTCCCACGTCGCATATTACTAGCCTCTGCCTCTGGCTCTGCCACCTGCCTAGATTTGCCTTGCTTGCCTTTCTCCTTGGCCTTCCGCTTTCTGTCACCTGCACCCACACTGCCTCTCGCCCCTTGCCCCTTCCCTCTCTCCACTGACAAATGCGTCTTTCCACCTGCCCCTCTTTCTCCTGCTCTCTCTGCGATCTCTGCTGTCTCCGATACTGCTGCTAGCATAACAGCTTCTGCTGCTGCCTTGTCTCCGCCTCCGCCTCTCCTTCCTGCTGCTGCTGGGGACAGAGAGCAAGCAGCCTGGTTCTGCCCGGGCTGAGAGCCCCTAGTCGTCCCAGCAGCACCACCGCGGGGGTTTACGGCACGGGTAGGAGGCAGAGGAGAAAATTCACGGGCAGGGGAGGGAAGAGATGAGTGCGGCTGCATGGGCTGTGTGTAGGGAGGCTGAGGGGAGGAGGGCGTGGATGGACGGAGGGCTCTGGAGGGCCGTGTGGGAGGGGTGGCTAGGGTGGCAGCAGCAGCAAGGGAGGCAGGGAGAGGGAGTGAGGGAGTGCAAGGAGGAGGCATGGTGGTGGAAGAAGGGAGTGGAGATGGCTTTTGAGACGTCTCAAAAGTCATGGTGGTGGAAGAAGGGAGTGGAGATGGGTGCTTTTGCTTGCTGGAGGATGCACGGGTGGGTGTGAGGGACTGGCGGACAGAGCGTGTGGCTGTGGTGCCATTGGGTTCCTGGTGGGTGTTGTGGAGGGGGCGGAGGGAGTGGGAGATGGAGAGTGATGATGGACAGAGAGTAAGAGTGCGTGGGGCTAAGAAGGAGACGTTTGGTTGAAGAATGAAAGGGAGGGGAGAGGAGAGGAGAGGAGAGGAGAGGAGAGGAGAGGAGAGGAGAGGAGAGGAGAGGAGAGGAGAGGAGAGGAGAGAAAAAGGTTGTCGAAGCGGGGTGATTCTCAACAAATGTCGTAAAACGCCTGCAACACGTGCCAACAGATACCGTCCTGGTTGTGCGTCCAGCTGCTCGCCTCACCTGCGTGCCGAAGCACACTCTCTTGGCCGCTCGCTCACATGTCCTCAACTGCCTCCCTGCACCCATGGCCGACCGCCTCACAGCAGCACCAGTGGCACAACCACCATCGCCATCGCCATCGCCACGACCAGCACCAGAAGCAGCAACACCACCGCCAGCTGCAACAGAAGCTCCACCAGAAGCACCACCAGCAGTGGGGGCTCTATCAGCATCTCCACCGCGCACCACTGCTCGTGCGCCATCAGCAGCAGTCTCATGCTGCGCCAGTCTCACCCTCTCCCTTCCCTGCTGCCTCAGCCTCTCGCCCCCTTGCCTCCCTTCCCTTTCGCCCCCTTCCCCTCCTGCACCACCTCCCTCGCGCCCCTCCATTCCATCTCCTCCTCCTGTCCGGACGCAGTCTCTTCCCTCCCTCCCTGCTCCTTTTCCCTCACTTAATAAGCCCTGCCCTTCTGCTCTCACATCCTCCTCCGCACCTTTCTCCCCTACTCTACTCTTTGCCCCGCCTTTCCTCCCTGCTCTATCCTTTTCAGCATGGGGATTACCCTCGCGGCCCTTCCACCGCTCTCCACTCCCCCGTGATCTAGTTCTCGCCGCCCCTGCTGTCTCCGCACCCCCCACCTGCCAGCCGCTGTGGTGTGTGTCGTCGCCAGGTGTGGGCGGAGGGACGTTGGAGCGCAGAGGAGCGTTGGAGTGCTTGGGAACGTGTGTGTGCTGCTGCATGCCCTCACAAAGCTGGCAAGGGGAAAAGCGGCACAGGAAGAGACAGGTTACTGCTGCTCCTGCTTCTTCTTCTGCTGCTGCCGCTGCTGCATGAGCCATCAAGCAGACGGGCCCAGCACACCCCTCCAGCAAACAGCGCAGCCAAGGAACACACACAGCGCACCCTAAGTAGGAAGTGCTATATTGGAATCACTTTTGAGAATCCTCAAAAGTGATTTCAATAGAAAAAGTGCAGTCTGAGCTGAGCTGAGCTGAGCTGAGCTGAACTGAGCTGAGCGGCAACACAGGCACCGCCTTGAACACAGAACCTCACCTCATGACTGAGCAGCACACACACTCACACACAGCACGAAATCCCGAGGATCATCACCGCCACACCATGAGAGTCTTGAGACGTCTCAAAACATCACCACCACACCACACCATGATGGTTTGCTTTGCAACAAAAAATCAATGAGAGGCGAGAGGCGGTAGAGTTAGCATGAGAGAATCAAGGAACTCAAGAACGTCCAAACTGGGATGGGAGAGTGGGGAGAGGAGCGCGGCGGACCTTCGAGGAGAGGGCACGGTAGGAGGAGATGAGGAGGAGCAGATAGGAGCGACGGCTCCAGTTGGTGGCATGCACTCGTGATAGCTGATGGTGGGGGCACACGGGGTGGGTGGGTATGGCGTATAGGCATACACACGGATGACGTGTATGGATACGGCAATGGAAGGAAACTGACGGAAGGAGGAGCAGACGTGCATGGATAAATACACACACTAGCATATGGGACCCAGAAGGAATAAAGTGTGTGAGACAGTTAACTGTTGATAAAAAAAGGGCGCACAGCACCACACAGCACCACACAGTACCACAGCAAGAGGAAGCTCTTGCGCCGGCCAGACCCCAAGGAGATCGCGCCAGCTGTCCCACGGTGATTGGTGCTCTCCCATACAGGCGCTGTTTGATGCTCCCACAGGCCACACATGTGCACGCAGTGCTGCCACAGCTGCTGCAACAGCAGCAGCAGCAGCAGCAGCAGCAGCAGCAGCAGCAGCAGCAGCAGCAGCAGCAGCAGCAGCAGCAGCAGCAGCAGCAGCAGCAGCAGCAGCAGCAGCAGCAGCAGCAGCAGCGGCGGCGGCAGGTGGAGGAGCGGCAGCGGCAGTGCAAGCAGGGGCAGCAGAGGCAGTGCAATCACCACCATTATTCACATTGCTGGCATCAATGCTAGTCTTAGATCCAGCAGGACCAGCAGCAGCAGCGGCAGCGGCAGCGGCAGATGGGAGTGTGGGGTGCCAGAAGGGGTGCAGCAGAGCAATGCCACAGCGACCACAGCTCATGCCCGCCGTTGCCAAGCCTCGCTCTGCTGCTTCCCCTCCCTCTCCTCCCTCTCCTTCCTCTCCTTCCTCTCCACCCTCTCTTCCCTCTCTTCCCTTTCCCCCCTCACCTCCCTCGCATCCCTCAACCTCCGGTCTCCCATCTCTCCACCAATCACCACGCTGCTTCGTGCTGCCCCTCACTGTGCGGGGAGAACTGACGGGCGACAGGGGCAGCGGAAGTGGCGAGCAACCTATCCCGCCACCCCCCACATCTTCACCAGTCACCACCGCCTCTGTCGGAGTTGCCGCCGCAGTTGCCGCTGCCGCTGCTTCTCCTGCTGCCTCTGCTGCCTTTGTCACGCCCGGCCCTCCTACCCCTCCGCATTCACCAGCACCGCCTCCGTCTCCCCCCCTGTTTCCGCCAGAACCTTGCGCTGCCCCATCGCCGCAAGCGGCTTTGTTCCCCGCCTTTTCCCCGCATGCGCGCTGGCGGGGAGGGGTTGCGCGACACGCAGCGGGGGAAGCGGAAGGAAGAGCGGGGGGGATAAGGAGCGCGGCGCAGCAGAGGCAGGGGACGAGGATGGAGGCGCAATGCGCGCAAAAGAGCCTGCAGGCGGCGGAAACGGCGGAAGAGCCGCGCGCTACTGGGGTGGGCTGTGCGCATTGCCGCAAACCTTCCCCAGCCGCCCCCGCAAAGGACGAACCAGGTTCGTATACATTCCCAAGATTCCACGACGGAGAAGCGGTGACATTATTGTGATTAAAACGCGAGCGCGACTCGATACGCGCATCAGACGAGTCGTGGTGGGCCGTCGGATCGCGAGGCCAAATCGACGGCGGGGGCGGATGGGGGGTAATGTCTGCTTGAGCGTGCGGGCAGAATCGCGCAATAGGCGGATCGCGGCAGGGGAAAGGGGAGGAGGACGACGGCGCGACGGCTGTGCCGCGGGAAGTCATGATGGGTGAGTGCGCGTAGAGCACGGAGGGGGGGAGCATTGAGAATCGTCACGAAGACGCGTCGGTCGGTCAGAACAGTTGGGCCTGTGGAGTGGAAGGTATGGGATGGGATGATGGGGATGGTGAGATGGTGGTATGGGAAAAATTCAGTGAGGGCGTGCTCGCTATGTTTTTAGAAGTTCGAACATGTCTTGTTACCAGCTTTCGCTAATGTCGCAAAACACTTCGCGAATTCCCGATACAGTTGGTGTCCACTCTGAAGAACAATTCGATATCGAAGTCGTCACTCTTGCAAAGATCGAAAAACAGGAACTTGAACAATTTCGAACATTTTCGGGCATACGCTTTCGTCGCATCCTTGCGACCCTCTACGACCAACACAAAATGTTTGCTGTTTGGCGGGAATGTCAAATACAGCAGCCACGTCGACATGCCGAGATTTTTCATTCGTCTATATCTTCTGCGACTCGGGCGGGTTTTCGCAGGCGATTAAAAAAAAAAAAGAGGCGACGAAATCGTCTTAGGGTTGCGAAGCAACATTACACTGTAATTTTTAGATGCACTTGACATATAATGAGAATTATATAATATCGTAACATGACTTTGATATTTGATGAACTACTGCTATTTACATATACATTGACATATAATATAGGTTGACAGAAATGAATAGGGGTGGTCGTTTTGGATATAGATTCTGAAGGTTAAGAACATTCTTTAAGTTAAATTTATTCTTAAACATGTTCAGATTATTTGGTTTTATGGTGATTGGAAATCTGGAAACAACAAACTACAAAACGGAACAAGAAAAAAACCATTCTCAAATCAATGTGCACGACCAAATTCGTACCGTCAATCTTTGCAATGAAACGCGGGATCGATAGCGCTGTGCTCAACACGCTGTTCCTTCTTTGGCGCTAAATTTAACAGAAAATGTTTGCAATAAAAAACGTCCCATCCTAGGGTTTTGTTTCTCTTCCAACTACTCACGCCACTCAAGCTTCTCCCGTCCCTCACGTCACTCACGCTACTCACGCCCCAGACTAGTGCTCATATTAAGGTAAGCCATATGCTCTCTATTTCTTAAGCTCATTCTAGTTGAGAGTGGGTCCTAGTTTAACTCATTATGGTTGAGAGTTTGTTTTTATTTAACGAGATCTAGACGTATATGTTTACCAGAAGATGATGTATCATCCTGCCTTATTGTTGTATCATCCTCTCTTTCATTCCGTTTTGTCTAGCTCAATTTCGTCGCTTATTCTAGTTTCTTATTGTTTCTTACCGTTCCTTCTATCTCCATCGGTTATGCCTTATTGTCAGAACATATCTATAGCTTATACTGCTGTGTAGGCTGTAGTGGGGTATCCCATAGGGGGTACAACCCAGTTAGGGTTTCATATTTGTACTGCTTTCATTCATAGTTCATTCATTCCTGCTTACTCATTTCACATGGTATAGAGCGGGTTCCCTGTGGAACTCTGCCTAGGGCCCACCGAAGCGCGCCCCGAGGCGCGCTCAACTTTTTTTTTTTCCGCTATCGAGCGACCCTCCGTGTCGCCTCCCTCCCACACGCGGCCCAGCCGCCCGCTAAGTCGCGGCCCCAGCCGCCCGCTACGATCGCGGCCCCAGCCGCCTGCTCGACACGGCCCCCAGCCGCCTACTCGACGCGGCCCTGCCGCCCGCTACGCCGCGGCTGCCGCCTACTACGACCGCGGCCCCGGCCGCCTGCTACGACCGCGGCCCCCCAGCCGCCTGTTCGACCGCGGCCCCGCCGCCCGCTCCTGTCGCGGCCCCCAGCCGCCTACTCGACGCGGCCCCCAGCCGCCTGCTTGACGCGGCCCTGCCGCCCGCTACGCCGCGGCCGCCGCCTGCTACGACCGCGGCCCCGGCCACCTGCTACGACCGCGGCCCCAGCCGCCTGTTCGACCGCGGCCCCGCCGCCCGCTCCTGTCGCGGCCCCCAGCCGCCTGCTCGACGCAGCCCCCGGCCGCCTGCTCGACGCGGCCCTGCCGCCCGCTACACCGCGGCCGCCGCCCACTACGATCGCGGCCCCGGCCGCCTGCTACGACCGCGGCCCCAGCCGCCTGTTCGACCGCGGCCCCCGCCGCCTGCTCCTGTCGCGGCCCCGGCTGCCTGCTCGCACGGCCTCGCCGCCCGCTACTACCGCGGCCCCGGCCGCCTGCTCGACCGCGGCCACCCCCCCCCCCTCCCCCCCCCCCCCCCCCCCCCCCCCCCCCTACTACCGGGAGCCGAGCCGCCCTGCAGCCGAGCCGCCCGGGAGCCGAGCCGCCCTGCACCCGAGCCGCCCTGTCGCCGAGCCGCCCAGGAGCCGAGCCGCCCTGCCCCCGAGCTGCCCTACCGCCGAGCCGCCCGGGAGCCGAGCCGCCCTGCGCCCGAGCCGCCCAGCACCCGAGCCGCCAGGTCGCTGAGCCGCCTTTCTGCATACCTACTCGACCTGCCCTGCCTGGTGAGCACAGTCCCACTGCCACTGCGAGCTCTTTCCCTACTGCTTGCACTGCGTCGCTGTCGTCGCCATGGCTACCCCTAGTGTCCTAGCTTTTGACGCTGAGGGTCGCGCCATTGATTTTGAGGTCTGGTTAGACGACCTGCAGCTGTTCTTACAGTGCGACAGGGCTGACGACCTTTCTCTCTTTGACCTCACCTCTGGCGCCTCTCCTGCTCCTGCTGCTGATGCTGATCCCGCTGTCCGCTCTAAGTGGGCCACCCGCGATGCTGCTGCACGTCTTGCTGTGCGTCGCCACCTCCCTACCTCTGAGCGTGCGCACTTTAGTCAGTACAAGAGTGCTCAGACCTTGTACGACGCTGTAGTTGCGCGCTACTCCTCCCCTGCCACTGCTGCACTGAGCCGTCTCATGCTTCCCTACCTCTTTCCTGACCTCTCTGCCTTTCCCACTGTCGCTGACCTCATTACGCACCTCCGCACTAGTGACACTCGCTACCGCGCCGCCCTTCCTGCTGAGTTCTGCGCTAAGAACCCCCCCCCCATGTACATCGCTCTCTACTACGTAGTCGCACGCCTCCCTGACTCCCTTCGCGTCGTCAGGGACCACTTTCTCGCAGTCTGTCCCACCACTCTCACCGTCGACCTCCTCGAGAAGGCCCTCCTTGCAGCGGAGAAGAGCATAGTCGCTGTAGGTGCTTCTCGTGGTGACCCTCGCACCCCCATCTTTGAGGGGTGCTCTCCTTCCCCCTTGCTGCCCTCTGTTGCCTCTGCTGCTGCTGCCGACCTGCTTGGTCTTGAGTCGGTCGGCGCGGCGTCTGCCCCTAGTGGGAGACGTCGCTCCAGCAAGGGCAAGGGGGGCAAGGGCGCGGGTGGAGCTGGAGGGGGCGGTGGCGGTGGCGGCGGTGGCGGCGGAGGGAGTGGGGGTGGCGGCGGGGCTAGTGGCGGGGGTGGTGGTGGTGGTGGCGGCAGCAGCGGCGGAGACGGTGGTGGTGGTGCCAGCGGTGGTGGTGGAGGCAGCGGCGGAGGTGGAGGCGGCGGAGGTGGAGGCAGTGGAGGCGGCAGCGGAGGAGGCAGTAGTGGTGGAGGAGGTGGAGCTGGTCGGGGTGGTACCCAGCAGCGTAGCGGCGGTGGTGGTGGCCAGCGCTCGCAGCGGCAGCAGCAGCAGCGCTCGCGGGACATCCCTTCGCCTCAGCAGCTTCGTGAGTGGTACGCTGGGCGTCAGAGGGGTGGGGGTACTGGTCCCTGCACCTACGTTCTTCGTTCCGGCGACCGCGCGGGTGAGCAGTGTGGGGGTGCCCACGCCACCCAGCGCTGCTTTGGCCGCCTGACGGACGCTTGGCGTCAGCAGTTCCCTGGGGCTAGTGAGATCCCTCGCTGGGATGAGCTTCTCAGGGCTGGTGTAGCGATCTTTGATCTTGATTTTGATGCTATCCTTACTGCTATGTATGTTGTGGATTATAGTGAGGAGAATGAGGGTTACCGGTGTTTTCAGCCCGACCCGGGCATTGGTACTGCTGCGCTAGGTGCTTGTGAGGCTGCTGCTCTAGGTGCCAGTGCGTCTGCGCTCTCAGGTACTGGTGAGACTGCGCTCTCAGGTACTGAGTCGTCCTCGTCCTCCCTCACTTTCACACTTGACTCCGGAGCTTCTCGCTCCTTCTTTCGAGACCGCACTACCCTTTCGCCGCTCGCCAGGCCGGTTGCGGTCTCCCTTGCTGACCCCTCTGGGGGTCCTGTCCTGTCTCACTTCTCCACTGTCCTCCCGTGTCCGGCTGCCCCTTCGGGCACCCTGTCGGGTCTGTACCTTCCCTCGTTCTCTACGAACTTGGTGAGTGGAGCGGACCTGCAGGATGGGGGTGTTCACCAGTTCACTCCTGCGCGTCAGAGGGTGACCCACTGCACGGAGGCTCGCACAGGCCGACACCTGGCCACGTTCTCACGTCGGCCGGGGTCGAGTCTCTACACCCTGACCGTTGAGTCTCCTCCTGTCCCTGCGTCTGGTCAGGTGGCTGCGTCGGGTCAGGTACTTGCTGCTTCGTCCCGGTCAGGTCCTGAGTCTGCCCCCTGTTCTTGTCGCCTCCTGTCTCACGAGACTCTCCTGTGGCACCACCGTCTTGGCCACCCCTCCTTGCCCCGTCTTCGGAGCATGGCTTCCCGTGTCCTTGTCTCTGGTCTTCCCCAGTCTCTCCCTCCTCTCCCCTCCGGGCCAGGACCTTCCTGTGTCCCCTGTGTCGAGGGTCGCCTCCGGGCTACTCCTCACTCCTCCCACTTCCCCCCGACAGAGGCTCCCCTGCAGACGCTTCACATGGATGTGTGGGGCCCAGCCCCCGTCCGTGGGCAGGGTTACGAGCACTACTTCCTGTTGGTGGTTGACGACTACTCGCGTTACACCACAGTCCTCCCCTTGCGCAGCAAGGGTGCGGTCACTGAGGTGCTGATCGACTGGATCTGCGAGGCTCGTCTCCAGCTCAGGAAGAGCTTCGGCTCGGACTTTCCTGTTCTGCGTCTGCACTCTGACAGAGGCGGAGAGTTCTCTTCTCGCCTTCTGCGAGACTACTGTCGTGCACGGGGGATCCGC